CCGGGGGTGGTGGGGGGTGGGAGTGGATTAGCGCGAGGGAGACGGAGCGCGGCTGTGTCCGCGCTGAGCCCCCTCCCACTCGTGAGGATTCCACGAAGCGGTTTCCTGTGAAAGGCCGCGGCCAGCGTGGCTTTCGGGTTCAAAGGCTTGGAGAAAGCTGACGCACAAACTGACACACAAGATGAAATATTAATTTTGAAAATATGGGGGAGCCAGGGGAAGACTCGGCTGGAGAAGTCAAGTTCCGCCGAGTCTCCGTCCGGCTGCTTTTATTCTCTAGGACAGCGATTGCCTTTAGGAATGCGGACAGACAGCCGGGTGAAGTTTAGTGAACAGTGAGATGGCCAGGTTGGGGAGTGTGCTTAGCCAGCTGTGGGCAAACTACGGATCCGGCCCGTTTGAAATGAATAAAACTAAAAAAAAAAAAAAAAGACCGTACCCTTTTATGTAATGATGTTTACTTTGAATTTATATTAGTTCACACAAACACTCCATGCTTTTGTTCCGGCCCTCCGGTCCAGTTTAAGAACCCACTGTGGCCCTCGAGTCAAAAAGTTTGCCCACCCTGCCCACCCCTGGTGAGGCCATTGAGTCAGCAGCAGGTGATAAAATGCAAATCTTCACCGTGTGAATAGCAGAAGGAGTCCCGGCCAGTCTTCTGCCGGGCTCCTCGCATTTATATTGATTACTGTTGACTCCTCCCATTTATATTAATTACTGTTGACTCCTCCCATTTATATTAATTACTGTTGACTCCTCCCATTTATATTAATTACTGTTGACTCCTCCCATTTATATTAATTACTGTTGACTCCTCCCATTTATATTAATTACTGTTGACTCCTCCCATTTATATTAATTACTGTTGACTCCTCCCATTTATATTAATTACTGTTGACTCCTCCCATTTATATTAATTACTGTTGACTCCTCCCATTTATATTAATTACTGTTGACTCCTCCCATTTATATTAATTACTGTTGACTCCTCCCATTTATATTAATTACTGTTGACTCCTCCCATTTATATTAATTACTGTTGACTCCTCCCATTTATATTAATTACTGTTGACTCCTCCCATTTATATTAATTACTGTTGACTCCTCCCATTTATATTAATTACTGTTGACTCCTCCCATTTATATTAATTACTGTTGACTCCTCCCATTTATATTAATTACTGTTGACTCCTCCCATTTATATTAATTACTGTTGACTCCTCCCATTTATATTAATTACAGCGTCCAGGCTGGACACGGGAAGGTCTGCTGGGCGCTGCGTGTGCAGTGGTCCCCGGTGCACCCCGCTTGCTGGCTTCGAGGCGGAGGGAGCGCTCGCTTGGAGCGCAGCAAGTCCTCCTATGTGGGCTGGGAATGGCCCTGTCACTTTCTAGATTCACTTAAAATAAAACCAGTCTCTCTCTTTTTGGTCCCAAACCGAACGTTTGTTAGTCTCCTTTCAGGGCGGTGGTACTGGACTCACCGGGGTCCATCACTTTGTCAGTGATGTAACTGTCCACCGCCGTGCTGTCCGCTGGAAACATGATACAGGCAGGGCAAAAGCAGGGTTACAATTGTGAGCACGTGAAACAGTTTATTCTTGTGCGATTATCAATTATTTGTTACTTTACATGCAAGCAACGTAAACCTACTTTTGCCCCACCCTGGATTGAATGTAACTGAGGGAAATATTCATGTTGGCAAATGATGTTGCATTGAAGAAGTTGTGTGCCATTATGCCAGGCACACTCTAGGGAAGTATGAAATAATCATACTGTTAATAAAAGACAAAAATCATTCTTTTAAAAAATGTTAGGGTTTTGTGTATGTAATACATTTGTTACACAATTTACCACCTTTAATTGTGGTTAGCTTGTTGCTGGGGTCCAGCTGATCGGGACTGGGTGAGAGGGGCTGGATGCGCCCTGGAGCTGTCCCGTGGTCCCTCCCCAGCGCCTGATCTTGCACAGGTGGGGTCCCTCGGCCTGGCCTGCGCCCTCTTGCAATCGGGATCCCTCTGGGGATGTCCGAGAGCCAGTTTCCACCCGCTCCCTTCAGGCCAGGCCGAGGGACCCCACTGGTGCACAAATCCGTGCACTGGGCCTCTAGTATGTGTGTGTGTGTGTATATGTGTGTGTGTATATATATATATTAGTGTGTGTGTGTATATGTGTATATATATGTATATATATATATACACACACACACATACTAGCGTGTGTGTGTGTGTGTGTGTGTGTGTTAGCCAACATTTTTTGTTTCCTTCATTGCACTTAATTTGTTCCCACGACTGGAGCTACTTAATGCATTTTGTTGTAGAAATGAACAGCTTTGGTTTTCACTCGGGCACATTACAGTATGTAATGCTTTCAATTCCAACCTCTATGCAGTGGGCGCTTCGTGCTTTTTTCCTGCTTCAGTTGTTTCTGTCCTTTGGGTTCCAGTTTACCTTCCTCCTCCTCTTGTAGCTTTCTTCCAGCCTGGAGACACTGTCCTTTGGGAACTGGGGGTTCTTACCACAGTGTAGTCAATGACTCTTCCTTAGGCTAAATTGTAATCTGTGTAAGGGCAGGGCATAGCTTGTATCTGTATTTTGTATCCCTGTCAGTCCTAGCCATTTAATTGGTAATTAGTGAGCAATTGGAGAGGAAGGGGGTGATTTGTTATTTTGTTAAATTCAAGAAAAAGAAGGTGACAGTACAACCCTTTAGTGCAGCATGGCCCCCTCTGTCTAGTGTCATTTCTTGGGTTCAAACCCCAGCCTCTCTGTTTATTACCTATAACTGCTTTAGGCAAATTATTATTTTTTAAAAATGTTTTTATTGATTTCAGAGAGGAAGGGAGAGGGAGAGAAAGATAGAAACATCAATGATGAGCCCTAGTGGGTATGGCTAAGTGGATAGAGTGTTGGCCCACGGACCAAAGTGTCCGGGTTCGATTCCAGTCAAGGGCATGTACCTCGGTTGCAGGCTTAATCTCCAGCCCTGGTCGGGGGTATGCAGGAGGCAACCAATCGATGTGTCTCACATCCATGTTTCTGTGTATCTCTCCCCCTCCCACTCTCTCTAAAAAGCAATGGGAAAATATCCTTGGGTCAGGATTAACAAACAAACAAAACAAAAAACATCAATGATGAGAGAGAATCGATTGGCTCTCTTCTGCACGTCCCTCACTGGGGAAGGAGTCCACAACCAGGCAAGTGCCCTGACCGGGAATTGAACAAGACTTGCTCAACCACTGAGCAACGCCGGCAAGGCAAATTATTTCGCATATCTGTGCCTTAGTTTTCCCACCTGTAAAATTAGGGTTATGATGAGCACAGCAACAGTATATCTCAGAGGGTTGGTGGGAGGATTTAGTGAGTGTAGATTTGTGAAACTTCTAGAAAAGTATCTGGCTTATAGTAAATGCCATTAGTGGAAATAATTGTTATAATTAGATATTTCTGACCATTTAAAAAGTGCCTCTTTCCCCCCCAAATTTAGGAGGATATGGCAAAAAAAGTGGTCGTAGTAAAAAATGGAGGGAGATGCTGAAGCTGCCCCCTGTTAGCCAGTGCAACGAGCTTAGACAATCCATTGGTGAGTAAACGGCCCTGCTGTGTCTGCGGCGCATCTCGCATTGTATCGCTTGTTAGGTGTTATGTCTTGAGTTCCTTTCTTGTTTCAAAAATTATCTATACATTCTTCTGTCTTCATGGTTCTTCCCAGGGAAGTAAAGCTGTAGGTTTCCTAATGGGAGTTATACAGTGTATGGCCGTAGTAGTGACACTGTTAACTGTTTCTCAGTCTCTTTCCACACACAGTTCTCTATGCATGTGGACAAGAAGGATTGATGGTAACTTCAGGAAAGGATTAGTCAGATGGAAGGTGACCTGTCCATTACCGGAATCCTGCAGCTGTGAGGAGGGAGAGTTAGCTACAGTCCTGATGTGCGCACAGGAAGTCAGATGTGGACCCTGTCTACAGGGCAGTCATCATTGTATTTTTTAAAAGATGCGTTTTTCAGTTCAAAGGGTATATGCATTCAAAATTTTGATGTTGCCAAATTACTCTTCAAAGAGGTTGTATCAATTTACTTTCCTGCCAACAATATGTTACAAGGTTTCTTTGCCTGTGACCTTGTTAACATATTAAAGTAATGATATTGTTTTCAATATTTTTAATGAAGATAAACAAACTATAATTTGAAAATAGTCTCGTTTTATTTATGGATGGGGTTGAGCATTTTCATGAAGTTTTTAAAATTTTTTGCTTTTTCTAACTCATTTGTAAAGGCTCTTTTTGTATGAAAGGAACTTATCTTTAGATATTCAAATGTGAATATATTTTATATATCTGCTTTTTTGGCATACAGTATGTTTTCCCATATAGAGGTTTTAATTTTTTATGTAGACAAATATATCAATTTTCTTAGTTTTTGTACTTAGTCTTGTGCTTAGGGAAGACACCAAAGATTAATTTTTAAAAAAAAAAATCAATCCAGCCCTAACTGGCTTGGCTCAGTGGATAAAGCGTCGGCTTGCGGACTGAAAGGTCCCAGGTTCGATTCCGGTCAAGAGCATGTACCTTGGTTGTGGGCACATCCCCAGTAGGGGGTGTGCAGGAGGCAGCTGATCGATGTTTCTAACTCTCTATCCCTCTCCCTTCCTCTCTGTAAAAAATCAATTAAATATATATATTTTAAAAAATCAATCCATCTTTTCTTTAGTATTATAGTTCCTTTAAGAAAGTTTAGATATTTTAACTATCAAAAATAATTTCAGCACTAGATGGTTTGGCTCAGTGGATAGAGTGTCGGCCTGTGGACTGAAGGGTCCCAGGTTTGATTCCAGTCAAGGGCACATGCCCCGGTTTTGGGCTCGATCTCAGTAGGAGGTGTGCAGGAGGCAGCCGATCAATGATTCTCTCTCATTGATGTTTCTATCTCTCTCATCATTGATGTTTCTATCCCTTCCTCTCTGACATCAATAAAAATATTTTAAAAAATAATAAAATAATTTCAGACAGTATAAAGAAGGTAATTCCCCCCAAGACCTATCCAGTTGTTTCAGCCTCATTATGTGTTTACAATGGCAGCTTTATTGAGATGTGATTAACATGCCATACAGTTTACGTACTTAAAGTGCACAATTCAGTAGTTTTTATAGCTATGGAGTTGTGCAACCATTCCCACAATCAAGTTTACCTTTTCATCACCTCAAAAAGAAGCCCCATGCCCATTGGGGTCACTCCCCATTCCCTCCCCCTTCAGTCCTAGGCAGCCACTAATCTGCTCTCTGGATTTGCCTTTTCTGGATATTTCATGTAAATGGAAACCATATACTAAGTGGTCTTTTATGAGTGGTTTCTTTTATTTAACACATTTTCAAGGCCATTCATGCTGTAGCATGAATCAGTACTTAATTCACTTTTGTTGGCAAGTAATAGTCTGTTGTGAGGATATATTGCATTTTATTTATTCATCAGTTAATAGACATTGAATTGTTTTTATTTTTATGTCTATATATATAAAAGGCTAGTATGCAAAGTGTCCCTCGGGAGTTTGATCGCTCGCTATGATGTGTGCTGACCACCGGGGGTGGCGTGGAAAAGGGTGGGTGACTAGTGGCAGCGGTGGAGCACCAAGGGAGCGAGGGAAGGAGGAGGCAGGGAGGTGGGGAACCTGATTGACCCGGATCACCGGCCAGGCCTAGGGACCATACTCATGCATGGATTTCGTGCACCAGGCCTCTAGTTATGAGTAATACTGCTACAAACATTTACGTACAAGTTTTTTATTGTGGTGAGAAATACTAAGATTACCATTTTAACGTAAAATTCAGGGGCATTAATGTGGACAGCACATGTTAATTTGGATTTTGGTCACTCATCTGTTGGTGGGCATTGGGGACGTTTCTGCCTTTGGGCTGTTGTGAGTAAGCTGCTGGGAACGTTGGTGTGCTATGGAGACATTCGTCTGAGTCCCTGCTTTCACTTCCTTTTGTGTATATACTCAGAGTTAGAATTGCTGAGCGGTAGGGAATCCTGTGTTTGACTTTCCGAGGAAGCGCCACACTGTTTTCCACAGTGCTGCACCCTTTCCATTCCACCAGCAGTGGATGGGGATTCCAATTTCTTTACATCCGCACCAGCACTTTTTATTTCCTTTTTGTTTGCACGGCAGCCGGCCGGGTGGGTGGGAAGTGGTATCTCATTGTGTTTTGCTTTGTAGTTCCCAAGACGAACGATGTTGAGCATCTTTTTATGTGCTTATTGGCCATTTATGTTTTCTTGGAGAAATGTCTGTTAAAATTCTTTGCCCATTTTTAGTCCTGGCCATTGTTGCTCAGTGGTTGGAGCATTGGCCCGAGCACTGAAGGGTTGTGGGTTCAGTTCTCAGTCAAGGGCACTGCCTCGGTTGCGTGTTCACGCCCCGCCCCTCCTCCCTTTGGGCGGGGGGTGTATGCGGAAGGCCATCAAAGGATGTGTTTCTCTCACATTGATGTTTTTCTCTCTCTGCCCTTCCCTCCCTTCCACTCTGGAAAATCAGCCCTTGGGTAAGCATTTAACACAACAGCTTCCCGGCCGGTATTTAAATGGGGCGTCTGTCCATGGTTGAGATGTGAGCGTTCTTCATGCGTCTGGTTACTAGGCCACAGCAGATACTTGATTTCCGAATATTTTCTCCACTTTGTGCTTTTCTCTCATTGTCTTGATGATGCCCTTTGAGGAACACAAGTCTCTACTTTGAAGAAGTCCAGTTGACCTGCTTGTTGTTGCTGCTTGTGCTCTGGTGTCGTAGGTAAGAAACCACTGCCTAATCCACAGCCATGAAGACGCGCACCTAAGCTTTCTCTTACATTTGGTGTTTGGTCCAGTTGAAGTTAATCTTTGTGTTGGGGTGAGAGAAGGATCCAGTTTCATTTTTTTCCTCTGGATATGCAGTTGTCCCAGCCCCATTCATTGCAATGACTGTTCTTTCGCATTGAATTGGCACCTTTATAAGAATCAGCCGTGTTTGACTTTCCAAGGAATTGCCTGACCCTTTTCCAAAGCAGCCGCATCCCTGTCCATTCCCGACCCTGCTCCTCCCTGAGCTGCATTTCCCTCGTGGCTGA